AAAGAATATTTTATGTTATTTTTAGGTACGTTTCTTCACAAAACTATATTTAATTATAATTTTCTTTAAAAGTATATTCACAGAATTGAAGAATATTTTGTACCAGGTATGTACCTACGGTACATCCACCACACATTTTATTTCACCAAGTAAGTTTTTATAATTTTATTCTTATCGTGGCTAGCGATTCGGAATGCAATTGTGATATTAAGAATACATTTGGAGAAGTCTGCGGTTTTTACTGGTTAATCGAACAAAGGAATACGAATGGACCCTAGATTATCATTGACCCGCAAGTAACCGATTGCCCCTGGAATTCGGCTTGTTACATAAACACAGCTTTCCTATCATCAAATGTCACGGCAAGCCACTGATAAACACTACTTTGTTTTCAATTAAGCACGTTTAATTGAAAACAAAGTAGTGTTTATCAGTTTCAATTTTTACTTTGTATTAATTAAACACATTTAATTGAAACATTATTATGTAATATAATGAGTTTGAGTATCATAATTCTTATGTCTTTTGGGTTCATACAACACTATTAAGTACAGCACAATCTGCTATGAAGCACATAACTACCCTTCTGACAAGACTTATTCCACCAAATCTTGGTAACAGTCAAAAAAATTATTCATTAGGATATATTGAGGTAATATATTCATTATTGAATAAATAAGAATTTGTTTTCTCAAAGTTTTGCTCTCCATATTGGCAAATGTGCTTATTGATTTTTTTCTTTTTATATTAATTTAAAATGATTAAAATTAAAAAATACTTTACATTACCTAATATTTTTTTATCTGTGTCTAATAGAATAAAGTAAGAATAACTTAATAATTCATGTTGATAAGGAAAAATTATCAACTTCCATAATTCCAAAATAGGATATGCCTTTATTCCGTTTTCATTCAAACGTACTGAAAATATATTAATTTTTATTAATGTAGTTATATATGAAGTCGTGCCTGGAGAATATGATGGGTCCTTTATCTTGACCTTCTTGTGAAATGATATCATTTTTACTCCTCATAAACTTAAAACTGGAAATTATGCAGTTCTAAATGTATTTATTTGAATCCATAAAATGATTTTGGACTAATTAAATGGAGCTCTCTAACTTTGTCATTTAAAAAATAAATTTGCATTGCTGCATTTGCAATGAAGCATTTCTTCCATGGCAAATGGCTTGACTAAATGAAGATGAATGTTGGAAAATGTAATATTATTATTCAAAGATGTGAAGGACTTTTTAGACCATCTCTTATAATAAATCTGACAAGGATAAGTAAGAGTACTGCAATCAATCTATTGCCAAACATAAATAATGTTTGAAAAACTTGCTTTGTTTTGAAATGAAAAAGATTTGGGGCTTTGCAATACACGTGCAAATTATGATGATTTTGGATCTTGGATGCTTGATAACTCAAAATCTGTCCATTTTTTTGACTTTGTACCCGTGGAAACTTTTGATTGGGATCACTAGAACTACAAAAAATCAAAGATTCAGCCAAATCTATTGGAACCAATTTCCTGTAAGGTTTGTGTGAAGCCCTTTGTAAAAGTATTTTCTCTGTTTGCCAATGTGTTTCTTGCAAAATTAATACGAACTGTGTGTATAAACATATAAAAAGTAAAAGATGTAAAACTTTTGAAAAAAAGTAATTCACTATGTAAGGATATTTCTAAAAATACATTGCTAAAAAGGTCAAACTCCTGCTATGAAATTACAAACTACAGCTGAGCCTATCTCAAATCTCACAGAAACATGAAAAAAATATTTTGAAATACAGTAGTTCCTACACAGTAAACATTAATAGATTTGACTGGAAGTATGGTATTTTATTAAATGATAGCAAGTATGGTACACAGATGTATTAGGTATAAATAAAACATTTTTGACATACCTTAAAAGAAATAGTTTGTGAATAGTTTCTGTTGCCTGACTTTCTTCAACATATAGGACAAAAGCCAAACTTGTAGCCAATCAGAGAAAATCCAGCAATGATTTTCTTAACTTTCCCGGTAACATTTAAAATTTTGGTAGCACCAACTGTTAAGCTATTTTATTAAAAATTTTTTATATTTTTTTAATTATTATAAAATGGCAAAAAGTTTGTTTTTGGTTAGTTAAAATTCTCCTTCACTTTGTTACTAACTTTTTGGAATCCAGTTTTTTTTTCTAAATTATTGATAGTTTAAAGATATAGATGGTCTTGTCCATTATCAAGGCTTGTTTTATGATGTTTAAACTTTTATGAATGTCCTTATATCAAGCTAAATATATATACCACATTTACTTGCATATAGGACGAGATGTGACTTTAAAGTTCAAAATAAAGAAAATTAGATTTATTAATACAATTATAATTTTATTTCATTTAATCACAAATAAAATATCAAATGCACATAAATGCACACATTGTCTTGCAAAAATTACTGGAATTTTAAACTTTAAGGAAAAATCTTGTAAAATTGATGACATAATTTCTTCATGTGAAGCTGGGCAAATCGGGAACCTTTTTTTTTGCCAATTCTTANATATAACCTCCATGCAAAATTTCAACCAAAAAGATGAGCTTAATCTTTCTCTAGTATGGCAGGCCCTTATAAACAGCAATCTTTAAATACCAACATCTGCACACCAATGCATATGCCCGTCTCAACGAGTTCTGTTATGCGAGTATTCAGTTTTTTGTTTGAATATCCACGTTCCATTTTTCGAAGCGTTCCAACGGAATTTCTTTACCTGAAGAAGAACTATCTCTAAAGTTCAAAAACGTTTGTGAAAGGGAGATTTTATCACACAAATTACACTGGTAACAGGTTCTGAATTTAGTAAATTTCATAAATTTTCGATAAAAAGAACAGGAGTTATTAAACTTTAAAGGGGGTGAACAAAATCATGCCCCCCACACACTAACACTCATACATACAGGAAAAAAGTCCAAGATTTTTTTTGCATTTTTCAATGTTTCAAGGTCCGAGTCCAAAACTGTAAAAATCTTTGAGTATCAGTTTTTAATTGATTACCATACTTTCTCTCTGTTATGTATAACAGAGCTGGGAAAGAAAAAGAAATGTTAATTGCTACTACATACTGTATTGCAAAAGATGTTTTCAACTGCAATTTATACTATCAAAATGTAGTCACTAAGCTTTGAATTTGCAATTGGCACTTTGGTCCATAAGTTTGGGAAAAACATGGAAGATGTATTGAATTTTGGCTGAAAATGCAGGGGAAAAATTAATTTTTGAGATTGAATATACATTTGTGTTCGTCTATCAATTAACATGTAAGCAAAATACAGTCTGAGAAATATACCATTAAAATATTAACTTAATGACAAGCCATGTCATTATATTGCTGTTATTGAGAATAAACATAAATCTGAAATAGATGCCCTTAAATTACAAAGCAAGCAATAAGGGAAAGTCTGATGGAAAAGTAAGACGACGACCTTTCTTAGATAAAAATTATTAAACATAGAGAGTTTTTATTTTACTAAGTTTGTGAAATATTTTATTAATAACAAAGATCAGGACTTGTACATAGAAGCCCAGGATTATTTTGACTAATTTCATTAATGAAAAATTAAGACTATACAAAATAAATTTTGAGTCATTTTTTGCCTATTATCATCCTTTTATTCCAGTTCAGGAACCACAAAACAGCCAGCAATGTGAAGCAATACTTCCACAAATAATTAATGAACACAATCAAAAAACTTACAAAATTAAAAATGATCTCATGTTGCCGGCTGTTTTGTGGTTCCTGAACTGGAATAAAAGGATGATAATAGGCAAAAAGGACTCAAAATTTATTTTGTATAGTCTTAATTTTTCATTAATGAAATTAGTAAAGATCAGGACTGTTTAATTGTTTTACAAATTTAATTTATGATATCAAGTACACACAAAGTTAAAAAATCAAGAGTGATTTTTTGAAACTATAAAGTGAATAAGATAGATCAACATCTAGTAAATGATTCTGAAAAGAGCTGCAAGATAATTTTGACAATATTTTCATCAAATATGACTCAAAAATACAGATCAAACTTAACAAAAAAAACCTCATACTTTTTAAATTCAAATGAATTTGATATTGCTGTTAACCCTCAATTTACAAAGTAGATTGGGTCAATGTAAAATTGAAATCGTGTAAGTCGAGAATAACATTTAAAGGAAATAGAAAGATAGGTTTCAAGGTTTTTTCATTTAATATAAAATGAACAAAACTGAATTTTCATGGTATACCATCTTAACTCATTGATAAAGAAACAATTATTTCTTTCTCTTTGTTTTTGGTTAGTTAAAATTCTCCTTCACTTTGTTACTAACTTTTTGGAATCCAGTTTTTTTTTCTAAATTATTGATAGTTTAAAGATATAGATGGTCTTGTCCATTATCAAGGCTTGTTTTATGATGTTTAAACTTTTATGAATATCCTTATATCAAGCTAAATATATATACCACATTTACTTGCATATAGGACGAGATGTGACTTTAAAGTTCAAAATAAAGAAAATTAGATTTATTAATACAATTCTAATTTTATTTCATTTAATCACAAATAAAATATCAAATGCACACATTGTCCTCACTTATTGATAGTTTAAAGATATAGATGGTCTTGTCCATTATCAAGGCTTGTTTTATGATGTTTAAACTTTTATGAATGTCCTTATATCAAGCTAAATATATATTAAGATGGGTTTTATAAAAAATTATAAATGCTAATAATGAGTAAAATTGTCATTAAGTCTGACCCTACTCAAGACATGACTCATGACCCCCTCAACCTTTAACCACCAAATTTTAATAGCATCAATCTCACTAATATATAACCTCCATGCAAAATTTCAACCAAAAAGATGAGCTTAATCTTTCTCTAGTATGGCAGGCCCTTATAAACAGCAATCTTTAAATACCAACACCTGCACACCAATTCATATGCCCGTCTCAACGAGTTCTGTTATGCGAGTATTCAGTTTTTTGTNTTCTTCAGAATATTAAAAAGAAATGATTTGAAACTGATATTATATGTACTTTAATGAACTCATGACTAAATTATAATACAGACAAGATATGTACCTTAAATGAATTATTTATTAGTGACTGAGTTTCTTCCCACCAGCACAATACTGGTTGGGTCACTGAATGGTCCAAGGCGACTGTGTATGTCAACAGCTCTGACTGCAAAATGATACGTGTGTCCTTCTACAAACTGTGTCAATGTGCATGCCATTGGTAATGGTAAGGCTTTCACATCACCAACTTTCTTCCATAAATTAGTATTTGGTGGACCATTACCTTCTTGATATGCATATAACTGGTAACTAGATACTTCTGCATGGGTGTTGTTAAGAATCATATTCCAAGATAGAACAATGCCTAAAAATGAATAAAGAAATTTTATATATTATTACATATATTCTTTCTGATAAAAACTTCTACACTAATGATTCATTGAACAATCTATAACATGTAAAAAATACTTATTTTATTTTGATTATATAGATAAAATATAAAACAATATAAATATATTTCATGACCAAACAATTTCATGAAATTCTTATTTAAGAAAAATAAGATTTCTAATTTGATACCATATCTAATGTGTAAATATGTATAAAAATTACTTCATTCTTTGATAATTAAGTGCAAATAATACAAAAACACTACATATAGTTGCAAGAGAACACATTGGAAACCAGAAATAGTTGTTCTAGCAAAATTTAGCACTTTGTCTTACACACAAAAAAGTAAACCATCATATTCTTGTGATTTTTTTTTTCATAATATGGTAAATTGCTGTTATATTTTGTTGCTTTACAGATCAAAGACACATTCCAGGAATTAAACATAAAAATCTTAATCTTTTCCATGCTGTAGCAATGGCAGCATGTGGGTATCTAACATGGGGTGCTGAACAACAGTAATTAGAACAGATATTAAAGGGACCTGAGTTAGAATGTGCAAACTTACATTCAACTCTGTACCATTGTGGATGAAGAATAAAAATAAATTTTTTATATTGTATATACTGTACATTTGCATAATGTGTTTAATGAAGTCAATTTTTTTTTATTTATTTACAAAGGTAAGGGAACTCAGGTCCTCGAGGCCTTCCCTATTTGACTTTGCTATTCTGAGTAATTACTATTATTTTACATAAAAACAATACACACACACACACACAAAATAAATACTTTTAATTTAATTAAAATTAATTAATTCAAGATTAAAAACTTTTTGCCTTTCATATTTTTCTTTATTATGGTCAATATTCTTTTTTATATAATATTTTTGAAATAATATTTCTGTATCTTGACTTGTCCATAAACTAACCATTATGTAAAATTTCCTTCAAAATAGTTAGTTTGATGGGATGTGGCAACACAACACATGTATGATCTGCCAAGGGAGATGCTTCTCAGGAGGACTTTCTGTGAAAAACTGACTTCTATTTAGATGTTAGACATACAATGAAAGCCTGAAAAACTCCATGTGACCAGCTCATTGGTGTGTTGTAAACCTGTGACCAACTATCAGTGTTCAGTGGTTTCATCCATTTGGCCACTGGTGGACCTCTTTCAAAATAGTTAAGTTTACTGATACTAGACTAATTACTGATGACATTACTAAAAGGTAAAATTTAGTCTATGTTAGTTTTCTAATATTTCTCCGTTTTATATTTATTACGTTGAAAATAATTTCATTATTTTTGAAAGATCTTGCAAATTTATGTATTTTAATGCAATAATTTAGCAGCTTTTCAAATATGATAAAATTTAAGGTTGGCTTATAGTAATTAGTAACATTAATGCTCCACATTGTTAACTGGTAAAAAATATATTATTATACAATACTTTGAATAATGGAAAGAAATGAAATACATTTCCACCAAGAAAATTAACTGCAAATGTTTTGATCATTTTAAATGACCATTATTAGGCAACCAAAACTTGAATACAATAGTATAGAATGTTTAAAATTAGGAAATGAACAATATTCAAAATTAAAAACCCCAAAAAAAACAATAAAATAAAACGATTTTAAAATCAGACATATAACAGATTTCATTTGGTAGTGTTTGCTTTTATGGATCTGCTTTTTTAAGTATCTATTTAAGTTGTTTATAAGCTGTAATAACATTGATTCTCCTCAATACATCAAGGAAGCTCTTAACCTGTCCTATGTTATTCTTGAGAATTCTCAGGGGTCATGACCTCTGACCTTGACCAGTGGACCCAAGATATTTCGTTACAGTATCAGTACGTTTTTGGAACTAGATGTCGCTAGTTGCTATAATTTTTATAGCGACTAGTTTATTAATATATCTATTTTGTTTGTGAAAAATAAATAAATAATTTTGGATGATAAAATAGCCACGATTACTTTTTAAAAAATGTGTAATTTTTGTTAGGCTTAACATCAACAAAATTCAACATGGTGTCACAGACAACAAAGAAAAATTTCAACATTGGCTAGGTTAAATATGGTCTGCAATTTGTCATTAAATGTGACAGTGACATTGAGGATGAAACCTCCGGGACTGATGTCCTCACAACTTCATTATTTGAGCATGATGCCAATTACTGTAAGTGTTAAACTACTCCTAAGATTTACATCAGTAAAATATGATATCAGTTCACATATCACTTTAAGAAAATGGCTCAAACAAAATGAAATTGTAGATGATAGAGTGGACAGGAATAAATCCACTGTACCTTTGAAATGTGACACATACTATAAACAACTTCTTTATCCTCGCCTTTTCCCATGTTTGTATGGGTCAGTGTTTCCTTCTCTAATACATTTCTTCCATTTCTCCCTATCAACAGCTTCTCTCTTAAGTCCCCTCTGGTTCAAGTCTTCTTCCACCTTATCTTTGGTTTTCCCTTTTCCTTCATTACCAGTTTTCCGATATTTCCAACATAATTGTCGCTTCTTCGCTCTACATGGCCAAACTATCTCAACCTACATTCTTGCATCTTTTTGCTCAAGGAGCTCACCCTAACAGAGCCTCTAATAAAAATCATTCCTTATTTTATCCTTCCTTGACACTCCACACATCCATCTCAACAATCTCATCTCTGCCATCTTCATCTTTCTTTCTTGGGCTTTTGTTATTGCCAATGTCTCCACTCCATATAACATTGCAGGTCTAACAACTGATTTATACAATTTTCCTTTCAGATTGCAGCTAACTTTCTTGTCACATAACACACCGCTCAGCTTCCTCCAGTTCATCCATCCACATTGAATTCTATGCTGCACTTCCGAGTTCAATCCTCCTCCTATCTCAACAAATGTCCCAAGATATTTAAAACTTGGAACCAAAGGGAGCAGTACATTTTGGATTTTAATATTACACTCATCTCTACCATTCAGAGTCATATAAGCTGTTTTAGTTCTGCTAATCTTCATGCCTCTTTCTTCCAAAACTTTCCTCCAATCTTCCAGTTTATTCTCAGTCTTGGTTTGGGAAAGTTCACACAGCACAATATCATCCGCAAACAGCATACTCCATGGAGCTTCACATTTCATGTCATACATCAACACATCCATTATCAGGTCAAACAAATAAGGGCTAAGGGCTGATCCCTGATGTAAACCAACATTAACTGTAGTGCCCACACTGCTCTTAACTTGGGTCTCTGCTCCCTTGTACATTTCCTTGATGAGCCTATCATATTTCTCTGAAACATTCTTTTCCCTCAAACATCTCCATACCTTTTTTCTTGGTACCCTATCATATGCCTTTTCTAGATCTATGAACACCATGTGCAAATCTTCCTGCATTTTCTTGTGCCTTTCCATCAGCTGTTTTAGAGGAAAGATAGCATCAGTCATACTCCTTCCCAGCAAAAAGCCAAACTGTTCCTCTCCAATCTCAGATTCCTGCCTAATCCTTCTCTCTACAATTTTCTCCCAAATCTTCATAGTATGGGACAATATCTTTATACCTCTGTAATTTCCACAATTCTGTACATCTCCTTTAACTTTAAAGATCGGCACAAGAATGCTCTTCCCCCATTCATCTGGGATCTTCTCCTGCTGTCAGAGTTTCTTCATAATGTCCCAGATAATATCAATTCCCTCCTTTCCCAAATCTCTCCAAGCCTCAACCGGAATCCGATCAGTGCCTACTGCTTTCCCCATCTTCATTTTCCTAAGCACACTTTCTACTTCTCTGCTAATATCTTGCACCACATCTTCATTTGCCTTTCCATTCTTGTATAAAGTTCTGGGGTTTTCTTCATTCAATAAATTCCTAAACTATACTTTCCATCTTTCCTTGACCCTTTCGTAAATTTGTAATACCACTCCTTTATCATCTATAATCAGTTTAATAGAGATAAAATCTTTTGATGCCTTATCTCTTGCTTTGGCAATTCTCATCAACTGCCTTTCACCACCTTTCCTTTCAAAAACTTTATAAGCCTCTTCTAAAGCCTTTACTTTTGCTAATAGCCACCGCTTTTTTAGTCATTTTATTTGCCAAATGGTAAGTTTCTTTATCTTCAGGCCTTCTCATCAAATCCCATCTTCTTTTTTTGCCTCTTTCTTTTGTTTAACTGTGGATTGTACAGTACCTCAGCATTCCACCACCAAAGTTTCTTTTCTTCTGGCGATCTCTTCCCTGAAGTTTTTCCCAAAACCTCTTCTCCAACTTTCAAAATGCAATTACTATTCAGCCACTACCATGTTTGCACATCATTTGGAAACTGGATTTCTTTTAACACTTTTACCTTAAACTCTTTCCTTAATTATTCCTCTTTCAATCTCCACCATTTGATCCTTTGTTCAATCTGGCTAACACAATTCTTACAATGGCCCATAAGACAGTCACAATCCACCAGGAGGACTATGTTTGTATGGAACCAAGTCCGAGCGTTATTTTTATTTTACTTTTATTATATTTTGTTTGGGGCTTATGTTTAGTTAGGACGAAGGTTTCCTCACCCATCACCTTAGAAAGTTAAAAAGAGAAGATAAAACCAACTCACCGATGAAAAAAAGAAAGCACCATAGCTAGCAACTGCACTCACGTGCACGCCCGAGCGGCAGATAGTAAGCCCGCACTGAAAGGGGGGGGAACACCCCACAGACTTTTAGGAGACTTGTTAAACCTTAAAGGAAACATCCCGATAATTGTTCACGAAAAGACTGTAAAAGATTAACAAAGTATTGTCAGGAATTAAGCTACCAGATAAACAAGAAAAAAGTGAATGTTACGTATAAGTATGTAAATGAGGGGAGTGTCTCACTTAGAAACTGTGACGTCACCTCAGACTATAAATAGCGTAGCTCAAGTGAAGAAAGCAGAGGTGAGCTCCTGAAAGGAATAAGCATAGTCTGCTGGTAGCAGTGAACGAGGTGTCCAGTAGGAAAGAGTCCGAAGTGATTGCAGTTTCGATTTGAGGATCGAGGAATAGGAAAAGTCTTGAGTTGGAGAAAAGGTTTCTAGTATAATTGAGGTGACGGTTAGGATTTGTAGTTGTAAGAATTTCTGTACCTTAAGTTAAGGATTGATATTTGTCGGAATTCCAAGGGGAATAGTTCTAAGTTAGAATAAGATTGTGATTTTGTCGGGTTGATTTTGTTTGGATTTTATTTGATTGAATAAATTTGTTGTTTGTTATAAATATTGTAAATAGTTATTCCTAGATCTTTATTAAATACTTTTATTGATTTTTGACTAACTTGTCTCTAATTTATTTCGGTGCACACGAAAGTCCAGGCCTGGCAAACTAACAAACGCGAACCCGCGTAAAGTACCTGTTAGGTACTGACTCTTTCCGGAACGAAAATCGTTGTAGAGCAATAAGTTAAAAATAGTACTTTACATGTTGTGCACCAATACTTTCTCCATTTAACACCTTACTGTTTCTCATTCTCTCAGATGTCTCCTATGACACAGGAAAAAATCAATCTGGCTGGATCTACCTCCACTCATGTATGTAACCAGTTGATCCGCTTTATTCTCAAAGTAGCTGCTAACTAGCACAAGGTCAAAAACCACAGCATGATTGACTAGTCTTTCTCCCTCTCCATTCCTTTCTCCCACACTCCACCTCCCAAGAACTCTTCTTTCCACATTCTTCCTCTTCCCAACATGACCATTTAAATTGCCCCATAGACTAATCTGTCATTCATAGGAACACACATTATAACTTGGTCAAGATCTGTCCAAAAGTTTGTCTTTTCATCTTCTCCACTACCTGGCTGAGGAGCATACACACAATCGTAATGAAAATTCCATCAATGTCCAACTTAACACTCATAATTCTATCACACCTTCGTTTAACCTCACAGACACTGTCTTTTAGAACTTTATCCATTACACAATACCAACTCCATTCCTTCCTCCCTTATTCGCTCCACTCACAGATGGCTTTCACCCTTCACCAAGTTCTTTAGATTTATTTCCTTTCCATCTTGTCTCTTGCAGGCACAAAATGTTCACTCTCCTTCTTTGCATAAGATCCACCAACTCTCTACTCTTCCCATTCAATGTTCCAATGTTTAAAGTACCTATTCTTATACTTGTCTTCTTCCTCTTCTCTTTCTGGACTAACTTCTTTATCTGAATCCATTGTTGGTTCGGTAGCCCCAGCTCATTTGACATAGTTTTTCGGCGACATGACTGTGCATCGCTTCAGGAGACATCCTAACACAGTTATAGCTTACTTCCATGTAGTTTTGGCATAGGTTTTATGGCCGGATGCCCTTCCCAATGCTAATTCTATTTGTTCTAAAGAGGCTAAATAAATAAATATATATATGTTACCGGTAAAGCTCGAAAGTCGTTAATGTGTACATTACCTAGCTAATCTGCAGATTAACTAGGGTGACCGTTAAAGTTGCTAAAATTGTTCTGTTTCTCAAATTACCTAGGTAAAGTGCAGATTATCTAGGTAATCTGCAAATTACCTACTAGGCACTCGGTAAAGTGAAAATAAGATCTTTGCTGGAACAACAGCAACGTTTCTGTACGCTTAAATTAACATAATGTTCTTTATTTAATTTTCGATATCTAAAGAATCAAGTTAATACAATCAAACAATCAACAAATTAGTTGATAGAATCAATCATCAACCAATTAAAAAACATACAAAAAATCAAACGGTTTAAAATATTAATACAATTAGGGAAATTATTATATAGATAACCATCTATGGAATTTCGGGACTTTGAGTATCTATCTGAACTGGGAGACCAAGATGACTTCAACGATACACTACTTTTGGACCGGAGACGAAAAATAATAAAGTTATCATACTTTTTCTGGTGATCGCATGATATAATTGTGCAGTTAATGTTACCTATGGTGAGTAAAATGGTGGCTCGTCAGCAAACAGAAGAAAGGAAACAGTGGTAATTTATTAGACTAGGTAATTTAGACATAGGTTATTAGACATGGTAATTTATTAGACTTAGGTTAGGTCAAAACGTGCGTCCCCACTGTTTCCTTTCTTCTCTTTGCTGTAATCAGAGACGAGCTGCCATTTACTCACCATAGGTAACATTAACTGCACAATTATATCACGCAATCACCAGAAAAAGTATGACAACTTTATTATTTTTCGTCTCCGGTTCAAAAGTAGGGTATCGTTGAAGTCATCTCGGTCCCCTCAGTTCAGATATATACTAAAAGTCCCAAAATTCCATAGATGGTTATCTATATAATAATTTCCCTAATTGTATTAATATTTTAAACCGTTTGATTTTTTGTATGTTTTTTAATTGGTTGATGATTGATTCTATCAACTAATTTGTTGATTGTTTGATTGTATTAACTTGATTCTTTAGATATCGAAAATTAAATAAAGAACATTATGTTAATTTAAGCATACAGAAAAGTTGCTGTTGTTCCAGCAAAGATCTTATTTTCACTTTACCGAGTGCCTAGTAAGTAATTTGCAGATTACCTAGGTAATCTGCACATTACCTAGGTAATTTGAGAAATAGAACAATTTTAGCAACTTTAACGGATCACCCTAGTTAATCTGCAGATTACCTAGGTAATGTACATATTAACGACTTTCGAGCTTTACCGGTAACATATATATTTTTTATACTATAAACAATTAAAGAGGTATATTGGAAATACAGAAGGCATTGCAGTTAGTAACTACACAGATACTTTACAAAGGATAATTACTAAACTTCACCTTTCCTCTGGGGATGTGTAATGAAAACACTAAAACCAAGAACAAGACCATGCATTACCACTATAGGACACAAAAATATTTAAATAAATACATATCTTGTTAAAATACACTTTTAGAATGATTCTTTTATCAGTAATACTTTGTAATAAATGCTGTTATAAAAAATTAAGTAATGAATATTTTGGGTTTTAAAATCTGATTGTTCAGTTCAATTACTCAATTACAATTCTTTAATTTAAAAAAAAAAAAAAAAAAACTTTTCTTAAGCATAGTTTGTGTTTCTAAACATTAATGGCAATAAAAATATTTGATATTTAACAATAATTTTGTGAATTATATATATATTGTATAAAAATTCTACTCACCACTTGAAACTCTAGAGATTTTTAGTGCTGGTTTTGGAGGAAGTGCTTTGAAATGTTGATATTCAGGATTAGGTGAATGGGAAGGAAGAGGTGCAGGATGCTAGAATATAAAATTTTTTTTACATATTTTAAAAATAAGTAAAAATAAATTCAGAATTATGTAATACAAAATAATATGAAAAAGATATGATAAAAAAATCATTAAAATATAAATTACAGAAATTAAAAATATCCATCTCACACATTTATTGATATAAACTAATATTAAAAAGTACCAATTCTATTCAAAAACGTAAATTATAGCCTAATATTCAATTAACCAAAAATCACATTATTTATATATATAATTAATATTTATAATCTAATTTTTAGGTCAGAAGGCTTTTACTTTTGCCTAGTATGATGATTTGATTCTAAACCTATTCCAGATCACTCTTTTCTTCTAGAAATTTCTAAATTAAATTATTCAATGACAATTAATATTTAATTATTAACCTTCTGTTAGTCGCATGGGTCTGACAGACCCGACGCGATTTTTAGTCAAAAGTTTTTACTATTAAATATTTTTTGAAAAATTTGAAAAAATTAATATTCCTCAAACTTTTTCATTAGATTAACATGCTGTTAAAATTTTTTGCATAGCAACGCTCATTTTTTAGAAAAAAAATGCTTTACGAGTCGCATGGGTATGACAGACCCATGCGACTCACGGAGGGGGTAAAAAAACGTCAATTAATTTGTCGCCGTTGCCGATAGCGAGTGTCGCAATAACTTTATCGCGCTGAAGTTGTCGCGCGGTGTCTATTATACTTTATAATATCGTTATTTATTTATATATTTATATTTTTGTTTTTTTTTTNCATTATGTGATTTTGTTATTCAATCATTTCAAAAGAGCTATCTCAATATCATTATAGGGTACATTTCTGAAGTTGTTTCCAATCTGTTCTCTGTTACACCAAATTGTGTTCACAGCTTTAAATAAACAAAATTTCTTTCAAACCTAAATGTTTCTTTCCACCTTCAATCTCTATAATAATGTAAAATTTTGTATCCATGTCAATAGTCATTTGTTATCTTTTCTCAATTATCTTGCACAGTGTCATCATCTTTTATTAAAACAAGTCAGTCAAGTTTTTATTTTCTATTAGGAGAAAAAATAATGTCTGTTATAACTGAATATATGATATAACAGAATCAATTTACATACAAAAACAAGCATTTAGCCAGATCCAGAAAACAATACATCCTTTTATCAACCAATTGTTTTGTCATATTAAAAACAAATGTTTAATTATTTTCAAATAAATTACTAATTATGTAAAAGTTTATATGTTAAATGTTTACTTCAATACGTAGACAAGCATTATACAAGAAATCCTCATTAATTCAAAACTCAAGGGACAAAATAATCATGACATCAAATTACAGTGTTTCAAATTATCCAAGAGTTACATATTTCTGTACAATATGCCAAATGCTACATAACTGACATAATTTATTATGCAAATGGAATGTAGCTATATATATACAGAATGTTATTTTCATTAATTAATAATTACAAATAATAATATTAATAAAATGTAGGTAAATAGTACCTGTCCAGTGAGAACCTCACAGATTGCCAGATAGGTTTTATAAAAAGGAAAGCAAATTCCTCAAAATGTAGTCCAAATTATTTTTAAAACAGACCAAAAATAGTAAGTTGCCCAAATGTAGTAGCCTAGAGCCCTACAAATATCTCAATCTGCTACTCACAACCCAATCTTGTGATCACAAAAATCAGCCTTACTTTATGAGATACGAGAAAAAAAAGGGTGAAGTCTATGTGTAAGGTGACACCCGAAAATATGTTAGAAGCAAAACCATATTGACTTGATCAGAGTTGTTCTTAGTCTATTGTTATCTTGTATAATAGAGGAATTTTGATCTAAATCAGTGTTTCTCAACGGGAGCGATATCGCCCCCATGTGGGCATTTTTCCATGTTGAGGGGGTGATTAGTAACAATTTATATTTTGGGGGCAAAAAAAATTTTCTGGGTAAAACATTATATTAAGAATAACTAGATATTTTATTCGTTATATTGTACAATAATTAAACAAATAACATTATACTAGTCAATAGTCTATTCAATGCAGTACGAATTTGGCGTTAGCCTTGGTCCTGGGCCTCGGAATTTTGAAGTGAAGGGAGCGATACTACGTAACTGTTTTATTGAAGGGGGCAACGATTCGTTAGAGGTTGAGAAACACTGATCTAAATAAACGAATTAACATATGTGTATCACAATTCAGACAGAATTTTCACTTTGAATTTCAAAGCAGCTATATTTCGAACTAACCAAATTCCTTAACATGTAAAACTCTATGGGATGTGAGTTTCTATCTGACTATCTGAGTTTGAGTTAATGAGGATCTCCTATATATCCAACAAAAGTATTTGGTTATTAGTTAGATTTTATCTGTTGCTGATTTTTTTAGATTTTATTTTACAGAAAATTCTTTATATTATAACATAATGTTTCTCAGTTATACAGTATATTGAATTTACTTGAATAAGCCAAGCACTCTTCTTCCTCTTGAAAAAAAGTTGTGTATACAGTTTATTCAAAACAAATTTAGCAATGCAAATCAAATAGTCTACAGTACTTCTTGTTACTAATCATATTGCTTACTTTGCTAGTGATAAATTTTGCTTACCAACTAGATGGCATTGCTTAATAGACTACAGAATTATTCAGGAATTCTTCAAATATCTTATTTATAAAGTAAAGTTTAAATTTATTTTTTTTTAAATAAAAATGGATGGCAACATTGTAAACTATTTTTCAGTTAAAAAAAAAAAAACACTTGATGTTACTGTATTGATGCTACTGGAATGAAATGTTTAATAATACAAATAGATCTTGAAAACATTTTCGTTTGGTTCCCAAGCTTATTCAAGTATATACAATTAGAACAAAACTAAACTCTTTGGAGCAATTTTGAATTCAATTAAAATAAATTAGTATTATGACAAAATTTTATAACAGATTTTAAAGAAATTAAACAACATTACACTTTTAAAAACTTAGCCAAGACAAAGATGAGCAGAGATTATACCATTTTCCCTTTATTTTATTTCTTTATTTTTACAGAATTCTAACAAATTTTTATCTCTCTATAATGTTATGGTTTGTTCAATTGTATGGATTGAAAAAAATTTTGCTTTCTAATAATGTTATTGCACTATTGAAAGGCAATATAAAAAACACCAGCATTGATTTGATTAACTTTCCTGGCAAACAATGCTTAAAACTGCATTGGCAGCATCTGTTATGATGCTTTATTAACATTTTTTTTAGATAATTCATTATTATAAAATGGCAAAAAGCTTCATTTTGAAGGTAGGAATGAGTTTTATAAAAAATTGTAAATGCTAATAACAAGTAAAATCATCAATTAGACCAATGGTTCCCAATTAGTGGTACGCGTACCCCTGGGGGTACGCAAAATTGCATGAAGGGGTATGCACGGCAATCTAAAATCGGTCAATTTAAAATTTAAATGCATGAGATGAAGCAATCAAAACAATAATGGGTGGACCATCAAAAATTCGGCAATTTACAACATGATGTCAAATGCACAAATTCATTTATTTATAACTAAAAATATTCTTGAAATTTCATCAAAAAAATGCATTTGTGACAATACCTAAATGAAATTCTTACGCAAGAAACAAAAATTGTACAATTAACACAATTTGTTTTCGCCAAATTAATTTTGAAAATTTTTGTCGCTGTTATTTCTCGCGCACGACAACGTGACTTCTTGCAGAGTATAATGAAACTTCACTGAGTTTAATAATCAGTTGCGACATCTCGCTTTTAAATCGGGCTAGAATTTATGATGTCAGCAAAGCACCAATAAAATATTTACTACCATTTTGCACAACATACAACTTCAAGAGCGGATTTTCGGCCATGACAAACACGAAAACTAAACATCGTCACAGACTTCAACTCGAAGATGACTTGAGACTGAAGCTGACCAAAAAGCAACCAGATTTTACAAAGTTGTGCAAAGAAAATCGTGCACATTTGTCACATTAAAATTAAATAACATTATGTTATTTTCATTATTATTAGAATTGTATTTTAAAGGTAATAAATGCAAAAAAAAAACTTATTCTATTTATCATTAGCTGTCTACCCACAGCTTCGCCCCATTATATTGAATTTTCTCATGGGAATAAGATATTTTCTCGTAGTAAAATGTAGCCTATGTCCATCTCCAACATGTAAGCTATCTCTGTGCCAAATTTTATTAAAACCTGTTTAGCAGTTTAGACGTGAAAAGGTAACAGACAGACAGCCAGAATTGCCTTCGAATTTATAATATTAGTATGGATTAATATGAATTTCTGCTATAAGGGGTACGCAAGTTCTAGCTCTTTCTTGAAGTGGTACGTAGGAAAAACTAATTGGGAACCACTGAATTAGACTAATCATACTTGAGATGACACACAACCCATCTATCTCTCAACCTTTGACCTCTGTTTTATATAACAGCCAAGAAAATAATTAAATAAAAATAAAATATGTAAAATTTACTTACTTTTGCTACACAAGAGATCATAACTGTGCTCGAACTACCGGCATTTGTTTGTTGCTTTGTGATGACTTGAGTAGATTTAGTTGGTGTTAACTGATTCATTTCTGTAGGTGTGGTCACAGTATTACCAGAACTTAATGTACTCGTGTTCATTGGTACACTTGATACTACTACTGTTTGTAATGGTCTCTGAGAAATTGTTGAATTTGCTACAGAACTTCTTGGAACAGGAACAACACTAATAGCTGGAGCAATTGAGGTAGAAACTGTCTGCTGCATTGGAAATCTATTTGTTGGGGCTAAAAATAATTAAAAATTAATTATGTTGTTATTCTTTTTCATAGAAAAATAAAAATACTTTATTATATCATTCCAGTAATATTAAAAATATTTAAAATAAAAGAGCTCTGAGATTATGTAATATTAATAAAATTTCATTCACATTGTAAATGTTGTTTCAGTAATGTAAAACAGAATGTACTGTGTGATGAACATATGATATTAGTTTACATTAATATTAATTTATTTCACATATATATTTTTAAATTCCCATATTACATGTTATGTTTAAATCTGCAATTTTTATAATCATTCTTAAATTACTAACAATATGAGTAAAGTAGTGATTTTAAAAAGATATATAGATATGGATATGCACTATATATATAAAAATGGACATGTTTGTCTCTATATTTCACTCTGTAGCCAAAACTACACATCGTACATGAATGGTGTTTGTGTGTGGTAGTAGCCCCAAGTCTCCCATTGTGCACTATGATGGTTTCATCTCGATAGCTATAAGGGTGCAGGAGATATGTGCTTGAAAGTGATTGACTTCTAAAATGTGTAACAATGGAAGTGTTAAGAATGAAATTGTTAACAATGGAAGTGTTAAGATAAGGCGGCGTGCAAGATTTACAGGCACAGATGCGTTTTTTTTTGCGGGAAATTGAACATATTTTTAGACTCATGTAAAAATTCTCTAATTAGTCTGGAAACGGGGCATTTAATTCTTGCATTCTGTGAAAACAGGTAAGATTGGCTGTAATGTAATCTTAATCTTAAATGTTTTGGAATAGATTTGTTATGTGTGAGTATTGTTATGTGCAAGGATTGTTGTGTGTGAGTAGTGGGGATGGCTTTTGGAGATGTGTGATGCACATTCTTTAGTTGATTTTTTATAAATAAAAGTGTACAAATAACAGAAAAAAGTAAAAATATACAAAACAATGCCAAAAAGTAAGAAAGAATTTTTGCGGTCTCAAATCATATCTCAAAGGCAAAAGATGGCAGGGAGAAATGAAACCACGGAAGAAAGAGAAGTACATCTAACATTGCTACGAGAAAATTATCAACAAGACAGAAATAATCAGGCAGAAGAGCAACTTGAAAATTATAGGGAAACACATCGAATCAGAGAAAGATTTTGTAGAGGAAGAGAAACAGTCTTTTACATATATATAAACTATATTACATATAAATGCACAAAGAAATAAAAACCCAGCGAAGTGGATACTTGCAGCTAGTATTAAATAAATTTAAACACACATTCAATTAATACCATAATTTACAAAGATTTATTTAAAAAAATACTTTTGCTAATTTTTCATTCTAGTTAAAAAAAATAATGAAAATGCTCACTATGTGTAGCTCATTAAAATGTTCTGGTTTAAATTGTATTTTATGTTAAATTTAATTTTTTTTTTCTAAAACCTTTCAATGAGGAAAGTTTTTGTTAGATACAATTAAGCAAAATGGCAAAATAACCAAATTATAATTAATATATGAACTAAAATCATTTTAAACATGATTTTAATGGCCTGTTTTTTATTACAAGATTTTTATTACAAGATTTTTTATTACAAGATTAAAGGAATAAAGATAAAATTTAGTCATATATTAAAACTTGTGTGTTTTGTATTTCAAAATGTATTTGTCATATTTGAAATGTTATAAAAAATAAATTATATTACTTATCAAATACTTTAGATGAATCAGAAATGAACCATTCTTTTACTGTAAAAATGTATAATTATTTAACAAATACTATTTGTTTTGGATAAGAAAGTCATTCTCAAATGCTTTACTGAAGCAGAAAAATCACAAAATAAACTAGATATTCAATAATTTTCAATAAGAGATCATTACAAATCATTAAATATCTAAACAAATTACTGAATATTTTTCAAATTTCATTATTTTTAAACTAAAAAGCAGGGCTGTGGAGTCGGAGTCGTGGAGTTTTGATATTTTATCAGGAGTTGGAGTCGTCAAAAAATCCGCCAACTCCGACTCCTTTTTACTTCCCAACTTCTTATGTATATAAAATGGAAAAGTATTGGAATTGTGTCAAATTTGACCCTCCAGGTCTTTTTTTGCAAATCTACACACGTTTGGAGACCTCTCGAACCCCTCAAAAAGTCAATAAAAATTCAGAGGAAAAATTTGTGTGCGTGTATGTGTTGGCGTCTAATTTGTTTAACTTCTTTATTTTCTGTTCTGAAATATTAATTAAACAATATCTCAGAATGGGTAAAGTTTAAGAAACGAAATGTGGCTTGCGTATAAAGGGGCATTAATACTGTTAAATTTTGGTTCTTAATTAAAGGTTGACAGAGTGAAGACATAAAAGTGGTCATGTGTCATATCTCTTAATAAATATTTTACTCATTATTAGTGTTCAAAATAAAAAAAAAAAAATTTGTCTCTACCCTCAAAGTAAACTTTTTTGTCATTTTATAATAGTACAGTAAAACCCATTAAGATGTTCTTGCCTAAGATGTTAGAACGTATATGGGGACATGATTTAGCTCAACCACTTTGACACTTAATAATTAACTCCTGTGTTAAACCATCTGACTCTGATTCCAACCACTCTGACCACAGAAATTATTAGGCTTCAAACGGGGTGAACAAAATCATGCCCCACATATACAGTCTAACATCCACACATATAGAAAAAACCTCAAATCTTTTGCATATCTCGAAATTTCAAGATGTTCTGAGTCCAAAAATGTAAAAATTTGGAAAGGGTCATTTTTTGACTGAGCACTACTGTCAGGGTAAAATCGGCCGACATACGATTTCCCGCACTTTTCCGTATTTTCAAACAAACGACGGTTGTCACCATGGGAACGCCAATCAGACAACTTTTGGAAACTTGACCGTGAATTGGCTGGAAGACATCGTACCATCAGTGGACGTCTTGTAGTGCTACTAAGCGCTGATTGGTGGAATTCCATTTCTCTCAATCCGTATAAAAGGATTGAGTTTAGGCGGGAAGTTTAGTTCACCTAGGACACATTAAGGGAACTCATGTTCATTCTAACTTTGCCTAAGCTGGCCTAGAAGATTGTTTCGCCTCGCTGTGCGGTAACTAACGTTGGAAGAAGTTCGTCACAAGGTGTCTTTTTGACAGACCTGTTGTCGTGGATTAAAAGTATTTGAACTTTGTTACACCTGACATTTTGTAATTGTTGTTTGTGAGCTTTTGTAACAGTACATACATTTTACTTGTAATATAAACGTTTTTGTGAAAATTCAGAAACGTATATTTGTTGTGAGTTTGACTACTACACTTTTCCTCTGTTATATATAACAGCCGGAAAAGTAAAAGTTAACGAATACATATTTATGTATTACTTAGAAGAGTCTTTTAGCTTTGGAATAAAAAGTTTGTACATTCTATCTTTATTAGAATTCTATTTATTGAATCTTTTATTCTGAGGTCACGTGATGACATCAGAATTTCCAGGTCTCTTTCAGTAACAAGTCCGCCCCTGGTCAGAGTCGGTAGATTTTTACGAAACTCCACAGCCCTGCTAAAAAGTGAAGGTAAAACAATCCATTCTTCAAGCATAAGTTTTCTTAAGTATTGAAGAAAGTAAAGAAGAAAGAAAGTATCAGAAAGATGACATCTTTAATGGAACACATTTATGCAAACATTTAAAACTGTAAGACTGAAGACAAGATTAAAGAGAGGAAATCTTTTACAATCTTTCAAAATTGTAGGCAATGTTAAAGGAAAAATAGCAAATGGTAAATTGTATGTTATCACTTCTTTTTTGAAATTTTTCCAAAATTAACAATTTTTCTTTTCATATAAATTGTTATAATTTTGTTTGCCCAATTTAAAATAAAAAAATTAATTAAATCATCCTGCAATCTGCAATAATTTTAGCTATGGACAACAGAAAATACAGCAACTTAAGAAGCATACTATTCCAGAAGTAATAAAAGCTTGTAAATGAATCCTAAATAATGTAAATAAAACAATAATACAGTAGAGCATCGATTATCCGACCCCGATGTGATGGTTAATTGACCGTTCTAGTCAGCAAATTCAAATGTCCGCTAGTGATGTGGTGCTACAATGTTTGGCTATGTCTTGGCTACTTTAATAGTATTTTTACGTGTTTTAGCTGGCAACATGGCTCGACCATGAAAGGGAGCCAGTATTTAAACGAGGCTTAATTTTCTAATTTTTAACGATACAACAGCGACGATTATTATTTAAAAAAATTTTTGTTAAGCTTAACACCGATGAAAATTCAACACGAAGTAGGTTAATAGCGATATACTAATATACTAATATACTATATTAATAATTATTTTTTCATATTTTTCGGTTATCCGTGTTTTCAGTTATCTGATCAACCCCAGTCCCCAATTGAGTCAGATAATCGATGCTCTACTGTAGTAAAAAAGAAAAAAAAAAAAAAAAAAAAGGTAAAGGGCATGAATGCGTTTCATGCAATCTTGTGACAAAAAAAAAAAAAAAAAAAAAAAAAAAAAACATTTTTTCTTATAATTTATGTCTTGCTTGTTAGTTCATATCTTAATGGGCTGAATTTTAGGTGATACTCAATTAAAATTGAGGTACACTCAACTCAGCAGTATGTAAATAAAAAAACACAACACCTTAATTTGCTGAGAAAATTTAATGAAAAAGCAAACATTTTCAGCCAAATCTGTTGGCTATCATCAGGCTAAGATATTCGAATATAAATAAAATTGAACAAAAATTTAAATACAGTAGAGCGTTGTTTATCCGAAAGCCAGTTATCCGAAACTTCGAGTAACCGAAAGCATTCCAGTTGGTAAATTTAAATTTTCGCTAGTGCTGTGGCACTGCAATCTTTGGTTATATCTTGGGCTACTCCAATTTTTTTTCATATGTGGTGTTTTGTTGGTGTGTGTGTGTGTTTTTTTTGTTGGTGTGTTTGTTTTAGCTGGCAGCACTGGCACTTTTATGTGGTGTTTTTCTGAGAACTGTGTGTCATGCTAAATCGAACATTTTTGATACTAGATCAACTTCTAAAGTATAATTTTTTTTGTTTTTATATTTTTCAATATATTTATTTTGTTTGTAAAAAATAAAAAAAAAATTTTTAACAATAGCCATGATTATTATTTTAAAAAGTTTACATTAGGCCTAACATAGACGAAAATTCAAAACAAAGCGACATGCAATGGAGAAAAATTTCAATATGGCATAGGTTAATATATTTTTTCATACATAATTGGTTATCCAAAAAACAAGTTATCCGAACAACCTCAGTCCCCAATTGATTTGGATAAACGATGCTCTACTGTACAAATAAAAATAACAAATGACATATATATATATATATATGTGTGTTACTATGAAAGACCGAAATTAGAGAATGTCAACACATACAAAATACGTCGGTGAAAGTCCAAATATTTGGTTATAGTATTATACATTCGAACAATCGCCGGTGTATGTCAACAAGCACAGATAAGCTTTGGCGGAAGTCGAAACAACACCCGAGAAGCCAATGTCGACAGAGAGGCGACAGTCTATCGCCAAATCCTTTGTGGGTAGCCGAAGATAAGACAAGGTCTTTTGATCCCGTGAGATGGGATCGGTTTGTCGTGTTGAGTGGCAGAGGATGAGGGGGGTCGTCGGTAAGGCGTCGGCGATATCTGAATAAAAGACACCATTAACAGATCAGTTCATAATCACGTAATAACATGATCAGTTCGTAATTTGTTACTTTTCATAGATGAGATTTCTTATTAACTTATGTACTTATTGATTTATTCTATTTTATCATCTATACTTTTTCTTTATGTATTTATTTGTATGTATGTATATTTAATATCTATCATTTGTGTAAGTGTAAAACATTTCTCTGAGTACTGTAAACTAAACGTGTATAACTGGTAATGCACGAAAGCGGGGCCGGTCTGTACTTTGTTTGTACAAATAAAAATGATGATGATGATGATGAGATTTCTTCTCAAGAAATATCGCTGAGAGAAGCAGCTGCAGCTAATTTGAAAAGTGGAGGGCAAGGCTATACATGCTGTCATTGCAAAAAGAAGTGTTCCACAAATAAATGCAGTTGTAAAAGCAAGGGACTCTTGTGCAATTCAAAGTGCCATAACAGTTTAAGTTGTTGCAATAAATAAGATTGTATAACGTTAATCACATAATTTATGTGTAAGTTTATTATTGTATTATTTTCTTTGATGATTAAGAATGTACTGTTCATTTTAGGTTCAACAGTTTATTTAAATGTGCCGTTACTTAAGCTTTTTCCTATTTTGACATATTAAAAAGTTGCATTTTTGTCTTAACGTAATAAAAATATTTTTATTCAACATTCACCACCATCAGTACATGCTGAATGTCGACATTTGCCAGTGTAAGTAAGAAATAATGATATTTAGCAAATATTTCGTACATACACAAAACGACTGTGTGAATGCTGACATTCACCGGAGAATGTTGACATTCGCCAGNATTTTTCATACATAATCGGTTATCTGAAAAATAAGTTATCCGAACAACCCCAGTCCCCAATTGATTCAGATAAATGATGCTCTACTGTATATGCTTTCAATTGCATAATTTTAAAGCTTCAATAAAATTCTATATTATACAAAATTCAATAAAATGCAAGAATATGCAAAAATACTAAAATCAAGGCATTAAATTAAGAGCTCTCTAATTGTTTGATTAAGTATTTCCAGGCCGAAGGCAACCCTTCTGAATCTCTAGAATAAATGCATGCATCATGCAACCTGCTCTTATATATTTGAATTTTTTTGGTGCAAATCGCCAATGTCGGTGAATATACTGGTTTAATAATACTTGCTTCGTCCCATTTGATGAAAATGTTTGCTTTTTCATTAAATTTTCTCAGCAAATTAAGGTGTTGTGGTTTTTTGATACTCAATTATTATTCAAAAATACTGTTGAATTCAGTTTAATAAATATTCTGTATCTAGATACCAAAAATAAATAAATAAATAAATGTAATCAATGTTTACAGAGTATCAATGTTGTCTCTGCACATGTATGAAATTACTTATGCTTACTTGGTAATAAATGATTATTATATTGAATGTTTGATTTTGTCAAGACAAGACAAGATCTATTTAATATATTTCATTTAATGTATAGTATTATTTTAAGCACAAAACTATTATTAGTCATTCTGAAAATTTCATTCATTTGGAATTTGATCTGTATTATTCTACTATTGGTAGATGTTTATTCAAATACAATAGGATCATAAAAACTCAATGAACATCCTTTATAAGCAGCACAAAACTTTTACTCATTAATGTTTTTGACCACTTTTTAATGACCTTCAGGTAACATAGAAAGAAAAAAAAAATAGAACATAATATACTGTATTTACTCGCATATAAGACGAGGTTTTTATCCATTTTTCACTACTTCAATAACCTAGGACGTCCTATATGCGCAAGCAAAGAATTCTTTTCGTTTTTGTATAATTTTTGTAAACTGTGTATTTGCATTTTTTACCAGATTCTCACCTTATAATGTTAAAAATAAAAAGTATTTTATCTGGGTCATTTCAATCGTTCTTGTGTATTGTCAGAAGTAAAGACGAATAACAATAGGAAAATCAAAGCTTTTGAATTAAATTCCAAAATTACACAGGAGCCCAATATAAGTTTTAATTCATTCCTACATAAAAACAGATGATTATTTGGAAATCAGAATTTGAAGAAACTCATAAGTGTAATCAACAAAGAGTGAATTTGACTGTTAAGAATTGGCAAAAAAAGGTTCCTGATTGTCTGGCTTTACATAAACAAATTATGTAATTGATTTTTCCTTAAAGTTTAAAATGCCAGTAATTTTTGCAAGACAATGTGTGCAATTACATGCATTTGATATTTTATTTGGGATTAATCAAAATAAAATCAGAAATGTATTAATAAATTTTTGAAGGTAGGACCTATCAAACTAGCTCCGACCTATAAAAAATTACAAAAAAGAATGAATGAAATCAAACGGGAACCAAACAACAAGACAGTAGAAATATATAATACAAAAAATGCAGTCTATTCGATACCATGTAATGCAAGAACCCAAAAAACTACATAGGCAAAACCAAAAGAAAGGTAGACACATGCCTAAAAGAACACATTGCAGACCTGAAATATAGAAGGATAAATTCGGCCTTTTACGAACACTGTACAATAAATAATTGTAATATAAACAAAGATGAAGTAAAAATCCTACACAAAGAAACCAATTGGTATAAACAGAAATTCAAAGAAAGTTATGAAACAATGAAAAGTCAAGACAATAACATCAACAAAAGCCTAAGTGTTAAAATCCATGATAATTGGTTAAAATTGTTGTAATACTGTTTATAATACTATCAACGAAAACAATTATGATAATAATGGTAATGGTAATTAGAATGTTACAATAATAATTAAGAAAAGATTTATTTATAGTGTAATTGTTTCTAACAAAATATTAATATGCCAACAAGATTAAAAATGATTATGTTAACACAGATGTCAAGAGTATATGCTGGAAAATGCTAGATGTTGAACCACGAAGCCTTCACTGTAATTGTAATTTAAATCATAAATATAATTTAAACTGCAATGATATTTTAACAATTTTAACTGTAAATACATAATTTTAAATGAAAAAATATATATGTATCAACACAACCTAAAGAAAATTCTGGATATCATGGTATGTCATAACTTATTATGATAAAACATTTGTAATGTAAGAAATTTACAATATGTTTTATTGTGTAGCCGACGGATGAGGGGCCTTTGCCCGAAATGCATATCGGCCTGTAGAAGATTCACAATAAAGATGATGTAAAATGCCTTGTGTCTATTAATGCACCTAGTAGTGAAGAAAAAAATGCAGTATGAATTGTATAATATGAATTAAATAACTGAGATGTTTTACGCTTCAAAAAATAATTAATATTTAAGCTTACAATATAATTTAAAATACAGAAACAGAAATTTATTGTTTAAACAATAATAATATTAAATGCTAATTGAAATCAATACATACATATTACAATTTATTTATGTGTACTGTATACTTAAAAAATAAACTGCAATAAATTGCACTGTATTATATAATATAATACAATATATTTTTAGAATAACTGATTAATAATCATTAATGGTGCATCGGTAGATTGTAAATTCTATGCTTTTTATCTGATATAAAATAAATTTTTGTAAATTCTTACAGTTTGTTTCTAAACTTTTAGTAAAAATCTGAAACAAGTTTTCTATTTCAGGAATTAACTATATAGAAAAATTAAAAATAGAACTTGATTAAACTTTTAAGAATTAAAATGAATAAAAATAGATTTAAAAGTAATAATATATNATTTCTTTACCTTTATTAGAGTTACTTTATTATCATTAATATTAATTTTTTTGTTGTTGTTATTCTTCACAATATAGAAAATTATTATAATATTTTATATTAATTATTCATTACAAAATAAAAAGATAAATGAGTTTAACTTACTGGATGGTGAGCTCATACGTAGAAATATTGTTTGCATTGGTTGTTGTTTAGAGTTGGCAACAATATTCTGATTTGTTGTTCCAGGACGTGCAGGATTTACTGGGAGAGGAGCTGCTGTCACCTGTGGTACTAGATAAGTTACCCTTGCTCCTTGATTTAAATTTGAAGGAACAACAGCTGCTGAAGATTGTGAAGTCCTAATACTTGTTGACACACCAGTTGGTGCTGAAGGTATAAAAGGCATCATAGATGGAAGGGAAGTTGTACACACAAGAGGAACAGCAACAACATTTGGATTATTTTGAGTGGGTGTAGATGAAAGAGTAATTGTTTTTGGTGTTGATGTTACAACAACACTTCCACCTATGAACAAAATTTGTAATATTTTTAAAAATTGTTTTGCAATTACATGTTATTTAAAATCAAATTTACATTTTATTATTAACTAAATTATTTCATTTACACATGTGCAAGCACACACGTATGCGTGATGTTAGTTAATTTCTAATATAAACCTGGAGAATGGGTACAGTGAATCAGGTACATCTATTTTTGTACTATGGACTGTCCAGAAATTAATCAATTTTAAAAAAGGTTGGTAAAGAACAATTGAAAGTCTAATAATATTTCATTGCTTTGTTTAATTTCTTAATGGCAGATTGCTTGGAAAATGTTCCATGTGGAATTAGTTGAAAAATGTGATTCCAACATGATGGCTCAATATACTCCCTTATGTTGTCTGAAACTATCTGAACAGAAAATTAGGAGAAACATGGATTGGTAGAGATGGACCACTGGCATTGCCACTGCATTTACTCAACTTGACTCTACTGGATTTCTTGCTATAGATCATTTAAAGAAATTAGTGTATGAGATACTAGTGGAATCTGAGAAAGATCTTATTGCACAACACATAACCATAAAACATTCCATTGAGGATATGCCTGGAAGTTTTGATAGTAAATATGAAAATATGCAATCCACAAGGTGTGCCTGCAACAATGCTGGAGACTACCATTTTGAGCAGTTCCAATAACAACTTATCATTAAAAAATTAAATAGATATGAAATTTTATCAATTTTTTATTGTTCTTTACCAACCTTTATCTCAAAAATGGTTCATTTCTGGACATGGATCCGTAGGACAAAAATTGAAGCACTTAGTCCACTCTAACCACCCTCCAAGTTTGCAATAGGAATTAAATAACATTGTGTATGCGTATATATGTATGTGTATATATATATATACACACATGCATACAGTAAAGCATCAATTATCCAAAACAATTCGGGACTGGTGTTTGGATAACTGATCATTTACAAAAAAATATATTAAACATAAAACTGTACTGTATATAATTTGTATCACAAGGGGAAGAGTGCTGCAATGCCACAGCCCTAGCAGAAATTTGAATTTGCAGACTGGAACGCTTTCGGTCAACCAATGTTTCGGATAATCAATGCTTTACTGTATATATGTTACTGTGAATGACCGATATTTGGCAAATGTCGTTTCGTGTATGTACGAAATATTTGTTAAATATCATTATTTCTCACTTACACCGGCAAATGTCGACATTCAGCATGCACTGATGGTGAATGTTGAATAAAAATATTTTTATTATGTTAAGACAAAAATGCAACTTTTTAATATGTCAGAATAGGAGAAAACTTAAGTAACAGCACATGTAAATAAACTGTTGAACCTAAAATGAACAGTACATTCTTAATCGGAAAATTACCGTTAATCACATATATTATGTGATTAACGGTATATAATCTTATTTATTGCAACAACTTAAACTGTTATGGCACTTTGAATTGCACAAGAGCCCCTTGCTTTTACAACTGCATTTATTCGTGGAACTCTTCTTTTTGCAATGACAGCGTGTATAGCCTTGCCCTCCACTTTTCGAATTAGCTGCAGCTGCTTCTCTCAGCGATATTTCTTGAGAAGAAATCTCATCTATGGAAAGTAACTTTTCTTTACAAATTACGAACTGATTACGGGTATAAAGCTGCTTGAGGGTACCATTTTTGTTTGCTAATTTATAAAAGTCGGAGTGTTCTATTCCAACAACAACCGCCAACATATTTTGGGCATTTGTATGGCCACAGTTGACATCAGGGACTTGTATTCTTACGGTATCACCGATTTGAGCAGAAGGAAACGCCGAAGAATTTGGCGACAGACTGTTACCTCTCTGTCGACATTGGCTTCTCGGGTGTCGTTTTGACCTCCACCAAAGCTTATCTGTGCTTGTTGACATACACCGGTGATTGTTCGAATGTATAATAATATAACCATATATTCGGTCTTTCACTGACGTATTGTATGTGTCGACATTCACTGGAAAATATCGACATTCTCTAATTTCGGTCTTTCACAGTAACATATATATTAGAAACAATTACAATTTAAATAATATAACTCAATATTTAATCAGTACTCTTTACTCTGTTTAAAATTAATTGTACTTTTTTTTTTATTGATATAATATAAAACAATAATAATATTCAAATTAATAAGAGAAATTAAAAACAAAACACCAATTCTATTAAGAATTTAAATTACAATGCACCCTTGCAATTCTAATGAATAATTTTAACTAGTGGGGTTATTTGAACTAATGAAAAGTTCAGATTAGCAGAGTTATACAAAAAGAAAAAAGTCAAAAGGACTACTGATAAAGTAGATTCCACTTATTATAATCATTTTAGTATTTGCCTTAATTGTTAACAATAACTAATTTATAACATTAAGCAGAATAAGTAAAATAAGTTAAGAGGAAATTCCAATCTGAGTTGATTCTAACATTAAAAGAACATGTTGAACAATAAAAAAAATGTATAACTTAATGATAATTTTAATTAATAAACCTTAATTATTATTTATTAATATATAATTTATTCAGTATTGTTTGTATGCTAAAAACTTTAACAACTGGTATAATACCAATGATTTAACTTATTGCAGGGATCGGCAACCTTTCAATGACAATGAGCTGAATCTAAGTTATAGTGTTATTCTAGATGCTGACAAAATTCTACCAATTTTGTTATATATAAATTATCAAGATTGGCCCAGTTATAATTGGCTTCAAAAATATATAATTTTGAAGTCAAGTTGTTAATTGAATTTTTCTTACATCTGAGGTGCATGAACAAGTTGTAGATGACAACATGGAGTGTAAATACATGCACTGTAATATAAATATACAAGCAAGAGATTCATTTTTAATGTACCACAGCCTACACTGAACTTTGGTTTCCATTTAAATGTGAAATTAATAATTAAAATATAATTTTTACTGCATTTCTATTCAATCAGAGTGTCACTGAAAACTGTCCCATTTGCCACATTTGGCATGTGTTCCATAGATTGTCAACCCAACCTATTGTATTGCAAGTATATGATGATTAAAACAATTACTTACATTTAATGTTTAAAGCACTGGTTAAGACTCATCACAATATCAGCCATTTGTTAAAACTAATAGCATGAAAAAGAGCTTAAAAAAAAAGGCTATTTACTTGATGATGATATCAAAACTGGTAAGTCCCAAAATTTTATTAACATTCACAACACAAAAACACCATAAAAAACTATAAATAACTTCAGTAAATAATCTTGGATAAAAGGACTAACATTTTCTATCCTTTCCATGAATCTTCTTCAGGTCAAAGGTTATTCTAATTCAAAACTTTTAATAACACTCTCTAACTGATACATTACCCATCATTACAAGAAACAGAGTTACTGTATATTTATATTTTTTATAGTATTTTGATAAATATACAGTAGAGCTACATACCAATGTTGGTATGTAGCTATATTGTATAGCGAGTTTGGAGATGTTTGTATATACAGCAGAGCGTCGATTTTCCGAAAGTCAATCATCTGAAAGAATTCCAGTCGGCAAATTTAAATTTTCGCCAGTGCTGTGGTTAGAGGATTTGATCACGGGATCTCGACTACTTTTCAGTCCCAAAATTTTCGGGATTAAGCTTTCCTAATCCGGAGATTTTCGGGATTGACATCATTTTAAAAAAAAAGTTGCAAAATAGACTGCACAAAGCGAAACGTTCAGTGCCAGTGCTTTTAACAGAATTGCTTGCCTATCATTTTAATATAAAATACAAGAAATTTTATTCCAAGCAAGCAGCAGAAATTAACCTAGTGGGCTTGCGATGCTTGCTTGGAATAAAACTTCTTGTATTTTCAACTAAAATGATAGGCAAGCAGTTCTCACTGGGTTACTTGGTAATATACTTCATTTTTGTATTTTTGAATTTTCGCGGGCGCCAAT